TGCGCTCCGCCAGGCTGTAGTTGGGGACCACGCCGCTGGCATCCATGGCCGAGCCGCGGAGACAACCTGCACAGAGAGAGATGGAGAGACAGAAACAAAAAAAGGAAAACAAGAGGCAGAGAGAGAGAGAGAATTAGAGAGATAGAAACAATATATTCAACGGGTGGTCCGGGGAAGCTGAAACTTGCCTGCTTCCAAACTGATGTGAAAGGGACCCCACGATGTGAGAACTGGCCAAAGATGAAGAGGAAAAGGGAAACGACGACGACGACGACGACGACGACAGCATTGACGACGACTACGACGACGACGACCGAACGACCGTGTCCACGGGGCCGTCGCCCGACGCCCCAGTGACGACGACGCCGACGCCGACCGCGTCCACGGGGGCGTCGCCCCGGCCGCGAGCGGCACCCCGGCGGGCACCCGCCGCGGGCGGCGCCACCCAGCCAGCAGCGGCCCGGCGCGGCCACAGGCGGCAGGAGAGGTGGCGCCTGGTGGGCACGGGGGGGCAAGATCGGTCAGCACCGGATCGGGAAATCGGATCGGATCGGAATGTGCGTCGGATCGGGCCGCATCGGCACGGAGCCGAAAGCGAATCGGATCGCCCGCGCAAGGATGCACAGCAGAGCCATGGGATCGAACCGGGCGAATCGAGGTGGCGCCTGGTAGCCACGGGGGCGTCTACACGGTTTGACCCGAAAGGAGGTTTGATGGTCTTGATTGGCAATGTTCTAGATGTCCTATATCGACGGTGAGCAGGAGGAGGAGGACGAGGAGGAGTTAGGCTGTCGGTGAAGGACCCCATGGGTCTGTTATACCGACAAGTAGGGCGATTCCTGCTCATTCTAACTGTATAACTCATGCTTATATGCCCAAGGGGCTGGGTTTGCTTGTTTCTTCTCGGGCCTCTGGGCATTAGCGACTTAGCGGCAGAAGCGGACTGCGAGGAGGCGAGAGAACAAGGAGGAGCACGATAAAGAGGGAAGGGTGAGCGGATCGGTCGGATTTGATTCCCTCCAATTACGATACGACCAACCTTCCCATTCAGGGATAATCTAAACAGAGATAGGAGGGAGGGCCGCCACAAACGCCAGTTTGGATTCGGAGTCCAGAGATCTCCCCCCGTCCCCTTCTCATCCCTGCATTCTCTATTCCCCCCGTAGCCTTTTTGGCTCGCTTCCATAGCAAACCATGCGTTTTTCGTGAACTGATACTTCATCAGCCTCCATATTGTACATATTTGTCAGCGGCGAGGCCCTGGCCCTTTTCTCATCGATGTCGTCGTTTGATGCGGCGAACAGGCCGCGCGTGGGCATCTGGATTGCTTCTTTGCCGAAGGAGGTGAAAGTAAAGACGGCCGACGAGGATGGCAAGAGAACCAGGGTGTACCCGGACACAGCGGCCAGAACCCCTTCGATGAATGCGCTGATGGCAGATTCGGGCATTCCAACTGGAGGACTGGCCGACTCACCAGATGAGGCAGGCAAGATGCTGATACATGGGATCGTCCTCGTGGAGGCAGGCTTCGTCTTTGACAGCGCCCACCTTCCCAGTCGGTTTGAGGAGGAGCAGAGAAAGTTCTGGGCCTTAATGAGTGACGGAAGCTGCAACGTGGGCGAGATGTTCTTCATCAGAGTTGTCGGGGCTGTCACTTTCCATAACAACGCCACTTGGAAACTCGCAATGGACGGCCCAGGAGGGCGACAGGGGTTCCTGAAGCATCTACACGGAGCTCAAGTGCATGTGATGGTCGAGAGGCTCAGGGACCTGCATGGTGGGAGCTTACCTGAATGGGCGTCGCGCCGATCCGCAGTGCCACCGATCGAAGGAAGAGGCGCGTATCAAGAGCCTCTCCTGTGCGTATCATTACCTAGATGCTGGATCGACGTCATCATGGCGCAGGTTGAAAGACAAAGTTATTCATCATTCAGTTTGGCAAATCTGAACAGGGAGGGCCTTCCTCTCAGGTGGACCAATGTGTGGAGTACGTCTCATCAACTTCAACAGCGGCGTCGTGGACCAGATCGCAACCAAGCTATGCGTGTTCTGTTGGAATCGTTCCCGCCGTGCAGATTCCATCGGCCGCCTGACGAACTGTTCGAATGCCACCCTTCTCTAGACGCAACAGCGGCAGAGGCAATTGGGAATGCGTTGGGAAGGCCACTTGACCATTGCATTCGCATGAACCAGGCGGATGACCACATGGCGGAGAATGCGCATCACAAGTTGGCTCTGCTCACGCATCTCGGCGACAAGATGACGGTCTTCATGTCAAAGAATCAAAGCAAAGACCCCGGGTGCAAATACCCGGCTGCGGACATTGTGAACATGTTCTGCGCGTCGCAGTATTTGAAGAACGACACGGATTTGAAACGGACATGCTTCTGGGCGATCAGAGCTGTGCTTCCACAACATCTCGCGCAGGAGTTCTGCAGCTCGATCGAGGCAGAACGCGTCCATGGGCGGGTGGCGAGCGAGGCGCTCTGTCACGGATGCGAGGTGGCGTGGGCGCGGCCTGGACGCTGGCAGCGAGGCGCGTCATTGAAGGTTTCACAGCCGATAACGACGGTGTCATTCTGTACCCGATCCCAGGTTCAAGCCCTCAAGGGGGCCGAGACTACCAGATGACAGTGCTGTTGATGATTGGGAAGTCCTCAGTTCCGACGGCACATCGCCTCGCATGCGAACTCGATCGCTGCAACATCGAGAAGACGCTCGACCAGCGAATAGACGACTGGAGCTTCGAAGAGGGCATCATGACGCAGATCGAAGGGATGCTCTTGAGGCACACGGCTCCTGCGAAGTTCAATTGGGTTTCGGGCGGACGAACTTATCGGCGAAGCTCCACGCGATCATGCACCAGCTGTTTCTCCTCAGCCCAGATGTTGCCACCTTCGCGCAGCTCGTGAAGGACGTGCCCGTCTGGCTGTCGGATCAAGGCACGGAGTCTGGGATTGCCCGCATCAAGCCCATCATGGTGGAGAATGTGCTGGCCTACGTGCGGCCAGACGACGACGACGAGGAGGCACCGTGTTTGGCAACAACTGGCTTGAGCCCTGGCCCCGGCGGCCTGGAGGCCTGGGGCAAGGGGGAGGGGAAGCGGTTCCCGGAAGTTCCAGGTTCGGATCCCAGGGGGTGCATTTCGGAATCCGCCGGGGAGTCGGGGCGGGGGTTCAGGTCACTGTTGCTGCCAAGCTCGATGGAAGGTTGACTTCGCTGCGCCTGCCGCGCACAGGCAAGAGATGATCGACGTGAGCAGGAGCCTCGAGTTCAGCGGGGCGCTTCACTTGAACCACAATGCTGGCAAACACCTTGCAGATGTGATGCCATATTACACGGAGGCTGTCAGGAGACTCAGTAAAGTGGCAGAGCTGTTGGACAACCCTGAGTCGAAGGAGCGGCTTGAACCCACGTGCTTCTCAAATTCGCCAGTCATGAAGGTCTTGTTTGAGCCCATCAAGAAGTTCAAGGGCCACTGCCACGTCGAGCGATGGAGCACAGTTGCCAACACCGTACTCCACATCACAGGCGACGTCGAGGCGGGCTTGCGTAAAGGCTGGGACTGCCCCAGATACAACCACGGCAAGAAGAACATAATCGTTGATGGTGATAACAACGACGTCGGCGGTGTCAAGTTGAAGGACCTAGATGAGACCATCAAGTCGCCGTTCTGGTGGGCTTACTGGCGCATGCTGGACATAATTGCACAAGCACTGTTTGACATACTCAGGTGGTGCGAGTCGCGCTCTTGCCATTTCGACTTGCTTGAGGAGTTGCGCGCAAGAGACCACGGCCACGACGAGGAGGTTGTCAAACGTGTTCGCGATCGAGCCTCGAAGTGCCCGTTGAGAGGCATGCGATGCCATGATGCATGCGCAGGTGGTCTTCTTGATTATGCGAAGCAGCGCCTGAGCTACCACGTCGCAGGGTTCGCCAGTCATCTGCCTAACGACATCGGGCAGGCCGATAAGCAGAGCATCCTCGAGCAGTGTGAAAGTGGCAGGGCTCACATTGTCGCCTATCACACTGTCAAGTTGGCGCACGGTGCTTCGTCTACTTACAGCATTATTGGGACGACATATGGAAACCAAGAGAGAGCCCGGGAGTGTTACCAACAAGTGCTGCGCAATTAGGGCAAGCATGCTGCTACTGACGCTTTCCTATCATATGCACGCGCGCAAGAAAAAGCGAGGGAGTGGGCAGCGAATGGATTTGAGCGAGCCTTTCGGGACGCCGCTGATAAGCCACATCTTCGGTATTGGATGGGCCTGTATCGTTTCGCGCCGAGTGCAGAAAGAGTTGTTGAGGGTACCCATGCCAAGACGAAGCGCGAGGTTGTCAGGGCTCCGCATCATGGAAATGCAACGGTCAGCTTGTCGAATAGGACGCAGAACCTCAGCAAGTACATCACGACAAGTCTACATCCCTTCCTCACCTTTGCAAAAGATGTCCAGGACGTGAATAATTGCCGAAAAGCGTGTGAGATTCTTGGCATCGCAAAGCACCCAAAGTCAGAACGTGCTGTGCGGACGGGGGAGCCAGATAAGATTCATTGGCAAGTGCTCTACCATGCAGACGCCTTCACCAAGTACAGGATGGAGCTGCCCAAGATCGAGGTCGCCAGCGCCAACTTCATCGAGCATCCGGACAAAACCCCTTTGAGCGAGCCCGACTGCGCCTGCAAGAGAGATGTTTTTGTGAACCATGTGATTAACGCATTGAAGGCTGACGGCACGGTGTACAGCATGCCCCTTCAGCACAATGCCATCGCAGAGCTGCACAAGCTTTTTTCAAGTATTCGATCCAGAACAGCAGCCTGTTGACGAGGGCACCTGGCAGGCGGCCCCGCCCCTGCCTCAGAACGGTGACGACGAGATCCTGTTTTTCAAGGTCGTTATGGCGGACGCCAGCCGCATTCCCCGGCCGAAGATATCAGGCCAAGTGCAACTCGGAGGCGTCAAAACCTTCGTGGTGCACAAGCTTCTGAGACACAACGTGGCTGAACATACTCGCGCAGTTAGCGCCAACGCGATGGGCAAGGAATTTGGCGATGCCGCTGAGCCATGTGCTCTTCATCCAGCTGTGCTCTCGCCAGGTAACTAGTCTAAGATATGTTCCTGGAGACGTTCCAACAACAAGTTCTTCGAGGTGAGATTGCCTGAACACATCATGTCGCAGATTCCAGAGGAGGAGATGGAGATGTTTGGGATGGCGGTCCCCACGCTACTGAAGTACCCGAACGGTTGCAATCGGGAGCAGGTCGTGCCTGAACATCCCCTAGGACCAATCCAGGAGCTCATGGATACGCTGTGCAAATTGGACCTCTGGGAAGGACCGCCGTACAAGATCACCGTCATGGGGGAGGCACTCCTTGAAGTCGGCATCGGCTTGAACTGCCCAGCGCCGCTGCTGATGCCGCACAAACGCACCGATGACATCAACGAGGCAACCCTCGCACAGCTGATCTTGTACATGGAGGAGACGGGCTGGG